TTGCTTCTCCTACAGGGTGACCGATTTGGGGGTGCCCTGGATGCAGCAGCCAAGATGTTCAGCAAAGCCTTTGACAGTGGCATTATCCCCATGGAGTTTGTGAACAAGATGAAGAAGGAAGGAAAACTGATCATGGGCATCGGTCACCGAGTAAAGTCGGTAAGTTGTTCTCCTTAAGGGACTGGATGAATGGGGACAAGAGAGCATCAATTTAGTTGAGAACACGCAGGCTCTTGACTCCAACATGCAAAGCTTTGGACCTGTTGACAGGTGAGAACGTTGTAATACAGGTTGCCTTTAAACAATTTTTATTGTGTTTAGTTGTGGTGTGAAAATATGATGAGCTGGAAACTCATCCTATGAACCTTATAAGAGAAAGGACAGGTCAGGGTAAGGGGACATATCAGCACCTGAGGCTAGCTGCATGCTGCAGTAACACAACTCCCAGAATCTCAGTGGCTTGCAACAGCAAGGGTTTCTTATTCACTCTACACCCCCTGTGGGATTCACCCCACCCTCACTGCGGGTTGCCTGCTGCTCTGTTCTGTCATCTACACTGAAGAAGCAGCCGCTATCTGGGAAAAGTCATGGCAGAAGTTCTTAAAGCTTCTGCTTGGTACAGCTCACTTTCACTAGAATTTCCTTGGCCAATGAAAGTCACATGGTTAAGTCTGACTCACTGGGACAGGAAAAGCAAGAATATCAGGGCAAGCCTGATTGGTAGAGGCCAGGGAATAAATACTTTATTTATTTATTTATTTATTTATTTTTTAAATATATTTCTTATTGATTTCAGAGAGGAAGCAAGAGTGTGAGAGGGATCAAAACAACGATGAGAGAGAATCATTGATCGGTTGCCTCCTGCATACCTGGATATGAAATGTAGTGTGCCTACTTGTGACATGAGCACAAACATAGTCCTTAGTAGAACTGTTAGAGTGAGTTCCTCTGTAACTTTAAATCACTTTCTAGATAAACAACCCAGACATGCGAGTGCAGATCCTGAAAGATTACGTCAAACAGCACTTCCCTGCCACGCCCCTGCTCGACTATGCGCTGGAAGTGGAAAAGATTACCACCTCAAAGGTAAAAAAGCAAATGCTCCTAATTCTTGAATTACTTGGCAGAATTTCTTGGGTGAATTTCTTGGCAGAAATGAGACAGCCAAGTTATCTTTTGATTGTGTAGCTAAAATTAAACCTGGTTTTCTGGAAAATTTTATTTCTGTTGCATAACTACTAGTAAGTTCAACAGACACTAAGTGTCAACTAGGTGTCAGATCCTTTGCTAGACAATGGGGATTGAACTCGGTAAGACAGTCCCTTCTAACCAACTGGGATGCTTTGGGAGGAGTTTTTTTAAATGGTGATCAGAATACGTAGTGTAGTAGTAGTAATAGTGGAAAATTACAAGGGAAATATGAGAAATAATGACAAATGCTTTGAATATTTTGCCTTCCCAGAAACCAAATCTTATCCTGAATGTAGATGGCTTCATCGGAGTTGCATTTGTAGACATGCTTAGAAACTGTGGGTCCTTCACTCGGTGAGCTTCGCAGCCCTTTCCTTCTTCATAGTGTTTATTGATTTTTGTTGTTCCCTCCCAACTCTGAAAATAACGCATGTTCACTATAGAGAACTTAGAAAATATGTAGTAGTGGTATAAAAAAGAACAAAAATTGCCTCTACTCCCACCACCCAGAGCATCCCTCCTTTCCACTTTGAAATCAAAGAGAACTGGCTTCTCACTCCTGAGCAGAGGTTGTACTGTCAGGGAGGAGGGCCGTCATGTGAGCCATTTTAAAACTACATGTTGAGCCCTGGCCGATGTTGCCCAGTGGGTTAGAGTGTTGTCCTGTACACTGAAAGGTTGCGGGTTCGATCCCTGGTCGCAGTGAATACAGCAAGCAACCAGTTGATGCTTCTGTCTCACATCAATGTTTCTGTTTCCCTCTCTCCCTCCCTCTCTCTCTACAATGGGCGGAAACATATCCTCACGTGAGGATTAAAAACAAAACAAAAATACTACATGTTGATTGTGTGTTGCAGGGAAGAAGCTGATGAATATATTGACATTGGAGCCCTCAATGGCATCTTTGTTCTGGGAAGGAGCATGGGCTTCATTGGTGAGTGAGTTGTTATTGTTTTAAGAGGGTTTTAGGTGGGATTGTTTTTTTTTTTCTCTGTGGTCCAGCTACACTGCTTTACCCATGTGGTGAGTCTCTAAAAAAAGATGTCACATTGACTTAATCATTGTTTCTAATCCGTCCTTTCTTACCTTCATTTCCCCCTTATCTTTACCTTTGTTCCCTTGTCTTGGAAGTTACTTTGATTGCAAACCAAGCCTGACATCTACCTATGGAATGGGTCTCGATTTACTTCCCCATTTCTTTGTATCTGCCTTTTTGTATTAGATGCATTTTCCTTCCTTATCCTTTCTCCTTCACCAAACTTTTAACAAATTCACCAACTCAAAAAAAAAAATGCATTTGCTCCATTTTAGGACACTACCTTGATCAGAAGAGGCTGAAGCAGGGGCTATACCGTCACCCGTGGGATGATATTTCATATGTTCTTCCGGAACACATGAGCATGTAACTGAGCCAGGAATCCTGTTGCAGTGAAGTGAAGACAACTCCTCCCTTGGGAAATAGCGTGCAGACAGCTGGCACTGGAGCTTGCTCAGGATGGGCCTGGGCTGTAAACCCACTGGTGTACAGGCACGGGAGACCAACACCCACAGGCTAACACTGTTCAGTCCATACAAAGAAGCTTAATTTTTTTTTAAGCATAGAAATAAAGACAAAGCCAATATTTGTGACATTTGCTCTGCTACCTGCTGTAATTATTACATAAAAGCATCTAAGCACTGTCAAGATAGTGTTTTTCCTCATTGTAGGGCTTTCTTTTTTCCATTAGTTAAAAAAAAATTTTCCCCTTGAAGGAAGGGAATGAAACTTTGAAGACCTCAAGATACTATACATTTAAGGCACCCCTAATGTCTTGTGTTTCCACTTCCCCCTTTTCCTGCTTATATAACATAAAAAAAACATTGTATTAATCAGATCTTTTTAGAGTCTTTTTGTGTGTTCTGTGTTAAGGGTTTGTTTGGTATCTCACTGAAACGTTCCATATTGCAGACCAAAGTCTGCTTATGTCGTGTTGAGACCATTGCATCCTTAGCCATTGTTACAGAATATGTGGAGGAGTAAGTTAAAATGTAAAGTTGTAACATACATATGTTTAAAATGGAAACGCAAAGCAAAAAGCTGTGAAATGTCTGTGTCTTATGTTCTCTATATTTATGCAACTGACTTGTCTGTTACTGAAGTGTGGGTCCAAGGACTCCTCTCCAGCCAGTTTGCATCTGTAATCCACAAGATTCTGGGCAGCTGCCACCTCAGTCTCTTCTTCGTATTATCATAGTTTGGTTTGAATAAACTATATAGTAACAATGAATACCTTACTGCTGTCTCATGTCATCCATCCATTTTATCTGTATTCCTTTGAACTTTACTTTCTAGTAATTTTACTGCATGTATTTTTAAAAATGTTAATCTACCTCTTTTTGTTTTTAAAAAGGAATCCATCAAAACACTATTTCCAAAAACAACCCCCCCTTTATATTTGCACCTCCCTCTTAGTGAATGAGAACCAAAGCTCTATCCATCCAGATACACAAGCCAACAACGTGGGAACCATCCTTTCCTTCTCTATCTGGTTGACAAGTGCTGTCAATTTACCTTTTTAAAAAATAATTTAGCTTTAGGCATACAACATAATGATTTGGTATTTATGCACTGCAAAATAATCACCGCAGTAGGTCTAGTTACCATTCAGTTGACCTTTAGCATCTCTGATGGATCCATATCTAGTGTGCTAACTTGTGCCTAGTTCTACTTTTGACCCCTTAACAGTGCATTCTCCATGCAGCCACCAGTGATTTTTTTTTAAATATATTTTATTGATTTTTTACAGAGAGGAAGGGAGAGAGATAGAGAGTCAGAAACATCGATCAGCTGCCTCCTGCACACCTCCAACTGGGGATGTGCCCGCAACCCAGGTACATGCCCTTGACCGGAATCGAACCTGGGACCTTTCAGTCCGCAGGCCGACGCTCAATCCACTGAGCCAAACCGGTTTCGGCACCAGTGATATTTTTTAAAACATCTAATTTGAAACACTCCTTTGCTTAAAACCCCAAAGTGGCTTTTGGCCATCTTTTTAACAACTATTTGGGAACAGGATAGCTATGCAGGCCAAGCACTGCAGAACACAAGCCTCTCATTTCATCCTCACAGCAGTCTTCCAACGGATGCTAGAAGATAATGGGTTCCCAGGTAATAACTTGCTCGCCCTCAATCATGAGTTGCATGCCCAACTCATCCATAAGTTGGAGCTCGGTCTCAAGTTTGTTGTTTTTTTTTTAATTTACTCCAAAGCCATTTTAAATCTTTACATAAAAATCCCGCCCTGGCCGGTGTGGCTCAGTTGTTGGTACATCTTCCCGCATACCAAAAGGTAGAGAGGGTTGGATTCAGGGTCAGGGCACGCACCTAGAGGTTGCAGGGTCCATCCCCGGTGGGAGGTGCCTTGGGGAGGCAACCAATCGGTGTTCTCTCACATCGAGGTTTTTTTTTTCTCAATTTCTCTCCCTCCCTCCCTCTAAAATCAATAAGAATATCCCCCAGTGAGGATTTAAAAAAAAATCCTGTATGGCCGCCCAAGACACTAGCAATGGGTGATGGTCTCGTGTGGCTTTTGTTTTGCAAAATGCCCACGAGGAAGAACTCGCTGCTCAGGAAGGGAAAGGACACCAGCCATTCCCACCGCCGCGTGGGCAGCAGCCTCAGACCGGAGCGCCGTCCCGCGGAGCCGCCCCGAGGTGGCCGGCGTGGGCGGCGCGGCGGCGCGTGCGCAGACCCCGCGGCCCGCGGCGCAGTCTGCGCCCACTATTTATTCCCAGAATCCCTCTGTGTCGCACCAGAACGGCCGGCCCGTTCGGAGACTGCGGCGGCCCGGCGCTGCGGCGTCAAGATGGCGGCTGCGGCAGTGGCGGCGGCGGCCGCAGCAGCCGCAGCAGCCTCGCTGCAGGTGCTGGAGATGGAGAGCATGGAAACGGCCGCCGCCGGCTCGGCCGGGCTGGCCGCCGAAGTCAGGGGCAGCGGCACCGTAGAGTTCGGGTCCGGGCCCTGTTTATCCGCCATGGAGGCGGGCGGGGGCGATCCGGGCCCGGAGGCCGAGGATTTCGAGTGCAGCTCTCACTGTTCCGAGCTGTCGTGGAGGCAGAACGAGCAGCGGCGCCAGGGCCTCTTCTGCGACATTACCCTGTGCTTCGGCGGCGCCGGCGGCCGCGAGTTCCGGGCGCACCGCTCGGTGCTGGCCGCCGCCACCGAGTACTTCACGCCCCTGCTTTCGGGCCAGTTCTCCGAGTCCCGCTCCGGCCGGGTGGAGATGCGCAAGTGGAGCTCGGAGCCCGGGCCTGAGCCCGACACGGTGGAAGCCGTTATCGAATACATGTACACCGGGCGCATCCGTGTCAGCACGGGCAGCGTGCACGAGGTGCTGGAGCTGGCCGACAGGTAGGCGGGGGCGGCGGGAGGGGAGATGCTGGCCTCCGAGGGCCGCCCCCAGGGACGCGCCGCGGCGGGGGCGGCGAAGGGGGGTAGGGGGGGTTGTGCCTGCGGCTGAGCGCCAGTGAGCCCAGAGGAAATGCACTCGTTTGGTACCTGCCGAGGGCCTGCGGTGCGGGGCGGTGCGGGCAGCCTCGGCGCTGGCCACTGAGGATGCAGCCGGCCCGTCCGGCCAGGGCCACTTGCCTTAGGGAGTTCAGATCCCCGGTGGCGGAACAAAGGCAATCAGAAGGAAAGCCCGCTTGTTGTAAGTGCCGTATTGACATTAAAAAGGGATGAAAGGGAAAGGGGGGTGGGTGGAAGGATTGTGATGGGGTAGAGGAAAGACCTTTCTCGGGAGATGACATTTAAACCGACCCTTAAACAGCAAAGATGGGGGATTCCTGGCGGGTGACGCAGAGGCCCTCAGGCCAGATCCAGTTTGGCTCAGAGAAGAACTGAAAAAGAAAAACCCAGTGGGGCTGGATATGGTGGGTGAAGGGGAGACGGGTGTGTGAAATGCGCTGGAATAAGGAGTTTGCATTTCACTGGGTGATGGGAAGCTGGGTAAGTAAATTACCCGATTTAAGCATTTTAAAAGATGATTCTGCAGCTGTGGAAAGGGATTGTAGAGGGCAGGAATGGATGCTCCGGAGACTGGTTAGGGGGCAGGTGAACGAAAGCCATTTATAGAGCTGGGAGGAGCCTGTTGGGGCAGTATTATGTTACAGATACATTATTTTAACAACTACCTATTGAGTACCTATTATGCACCCGCTCAGACACTGGGTTCTAAAGGTGCTGGGAATTCTGCGGTGAACAAAACGGACAAAAGTCCCTTCGTCATTGCACTCACATTGCTAGATGGACAACAGATACGTGAAATAGATAGCGTGTTGGGTGATGGTTATAGTTAGGATGGAAAATAAACCGTGGTGGGGACATACAGAAAGTGCTGATGGAGAGAAGCTATTTTTTAAATTGAATAGAGAATCCCTCACAAAGAAGACATTTTGCAAAGAACTGAAGGAGGTGAGATGAATCAGTGTTGGTGTAAAGGCCCTGAAGTGGAGATTGTCTGGATGGTAAAGAATAGCAGGAGGCCATTGTGGCTGGATCAGAGAGATGCCGAATGAGAGGAGCAGGAAAGGCCTCTGGGTGGTGATGGGAATGGATCCAGGTCCCATAGGGCCTTGTTGGCCTGTGGAAGGACCTGGACTCTTACTCTGAATGAGATGTGAAGGTTTGAGGCCGAGGAATGACGCATTCTGATTTGAAGAATTCTGCTATGTTAGAAAAGGAGGGGGCAGCAAGGGCAGAAGCAGAGGTGGTTGCAATGGTGGTAGAGACGGATTGAGGAGGGAGAAGTAAAGGTAATAAGTGCTTCAATTCTAGGTATATTTTGAAGATAGAGGAGATGAATTTGCTCATGGATTTGATGTGGGGTGAGAGAGAGAGAGAGAGTGCTAGCTTTTGGACTCAAGCAATTGGAAAGATGGAGTTGTTATTTATTAACGTGGAAGACTGCAGGAAAGCAAGGTTGGGAGGAAGATCAGGAGTTTGGTTTGGGTCCAGGAGAAGTCTGAGTAGGCAGGTGGGTATCAGAGCATTGGGAGGAAATAAGCATACAGATGATAATTGAAGCTATAAGACTGGATGAAATTACTTAGGAAGAGAGTGTAGATAGAAAAGTGAAGAGGCAGGACTGCGTCCTGGGATTCTTCAGAATGTTAAAGAGGAACCAGCAGAGAAGACTAGAAAGAAGGGTGCCAATCATGTCAGCTCTGTCAACCGCAGGTGATCATTGAATTTGGCAATAGAGTAGGAAAGGAGAGATTAATGTTACAGGACAGGGGAATAATTGCAGGAGCAAAGTCTTTGAAACCAAGAAGTGGATAGAATTCATATTAAAAATGGAAAAGTTGGCCTGGCTGGTTGAGCATTGACCTATGAACCAGAAGTTCAAGGTTCAATTTCCCAGTCAGGGCACATGCCCAGGTTGTGGGCTCAGTGGACTGTGCTGGAGGCAGCTGATCAATGATTCTCTTATCATTGATGTTTCTATCTCTCTCTCCCTCTCCCTTCCTCTCTGAAATCAATAAAAAAAAAAAAAAGATTTTTTTGTTTAATGGAAAAGTTGGACTGGGAGAGCATAGTATAGAGTACAGCTGTAGGCAGTGTGGGTGGTGGGAAGATGAAGTTTCTGCCTGATGGCTTCTCTTTATTCTTAAAGTGTGAGGCTGGGTCATCCAATAGAGAATGGAGTGGAACAGGGTGGGGCAGTTATAGGTCTGAGATGGGGGAAGGGTGATTCCACTCTCTCATGCTGTGTTTGCTTTTGTCAGGTGAGCTTGTGTTCTTCAGATTTGTCCCAGCTTTATTGGGGAGTTGGGGATAAGGAGGAGGAGAGAACACCCCAGGCAGTTTACTTAAAGCACTAACTTCTCCATCTGTCAGCTGCTGAGCAACTGCCTTGTGTTAGGCACTCTTCTGAGTATCTGCAACCATCACATCTAATCTTAGCAGCTCTGAGAGAGGATCATTCTCCTAACCCCCCACTCCCCATTCCCCCTTATACTCTGTTGATCATGCCTACCTTGTAGGGCACTTATAACATGAATAACAGGAAGTGCAGCTTGCAATGCCCATCACATGGCAAATGCCTAGTATATGCTAGCTGTTGTTTTCATAGAGCAGTGTTCTAAACACCGTCCAAGGGAATATGTGTGAGAATTACCTGGAGTGCCTGCCAAAAATGGGAGCTGGGTAGGGTGGTGAGCCTGGGAATCTAGGCACCCAGACATGTTTGAGAGCCACTGGAACTCTTACTACTACACCTTGTCTTTGTTTCATGTCTAAGATGTATGTTCACTGAAGAGGGTGAAGGGAGCCTGTGCTACTCATCTTTATATCATTGTTCGACAGTGTTGTCCGATTGTCATTGGCACCAATTCAACGGCAACAGGAACCCCCGATTTGGGGTGTGGTGAAGAAGGAAACTTTATTCAGTGCAAAACAGCTCAATTGTGTTATAGCACAGCTGTGAAAACAGCATGGGCTGTAGAACAGCTCAATTGTGAGACAGCAGGGCTGTGAAGCAGCCCTGGGGCCAGGCCCCTCTCCAGCTAGATGCTCTGCTCTCCTCTGCTCTGCTCCTCCATGGTCTGCTGCGTTCTGTGCCAGTCTGCTGTGGCCTGCACTGGTCTGCTCCACTCTGCTCCTTTGAGACATCTTTGGTGGTTCAGCTCAGCCAGGGTTACCCAGTTTTTGGTGGGAAAGGAAAGTGCGCTGTCAGAGCCAGAGGGGAGCTGGCTTATTTGGATAGAATTCCTTGCCCCTGGTGCCTGATTGTCATCATGCAAATGAGGACTCCAAGTCCTCACAGTTTGATTGGTCCAAAATGCACTGTCCTGATTGGTCAGAATAGAGCCACTCAGGTTGGTTGGAGCTGCACAGCTTCCAGTTGGATGGGGAAAGCTTCAGTCCTTTTGGTTGAAATTGAATTTCAGGAACACCTCTATTATAAGGTCTAGCTCAGATGGCAGAAACATAGCTGGGTTCTGAGGCAAGTACTTCGGTGCAGGCCTCTCCCTGAAGTGAGAGGCCCCTATGTAGACATGGCTGCTAGGCTCTGTTTTTTAAAAATTTGAGCCCAGTTAGCTACCAAGAGCCCTCTCTCCCTCTCAGGTTTCACAATAGTTGTAATAACCATAATAATAAATGGCTACTGAATTAAATAGGTCTGGACTGATGTAGTCATCCGTATATCATTGAGGTTCTCAGTTCTGGGGACTTTCTCTTTCTAACGCCATGGTCTCAAACTGGCTACCCTTGGGGCTGAATGCTGCCAGATTTATGAATTTGTCTGACATGTGGTTTTGTGTGTGTGCTTTTTTTTTTTTTTTTTTTAATTTAACTTTAAACAAATTTAGGTAGGTAGGCAATTTCTAGCCAGCTACATTCCAAACCATTTTCTTTTCTTTTTTATTTTGTTAATCCTTACCCAAGGATATTTTTTCCATTGGAAAGAGGGGTGAGGGGGCGGGGGGCGGGGGGTAGAGAAAGAAACAGGGATGTGAAACAGATTCATTGATTGGTTGCCTCCCGCACATGCCCTGACTGGGGCCAGGGATCAATCCTGCAACCCAGTTATGTGCCCTTGACTGGGAATCCAGCCCAAGACCCTTCAGTGTGCAGGCCAACACTCTAACCACTGAGCTTCTTTTTTTAACCTGGACTGTCCTGTACATGTTTTTTATTGTTTTATTTCCTGGCTTCTTCAGATGTTTGTTTGCTTTGCCACCCCTGCTTTAATGAGACTGCAGCTCCCCCACTCTCCAGCACCTCCCCCCCTTCATTTGTTGACCTGGGAGAATGGTCTGGTGAAGAGGAGATTTAAACCTCTGACACAAAGACTCCACTTCTGATGCTCTGGGATCCACAGTTCCTATACCATGCAGTCAGTGCTTAGTAAAGTCTCTTCACTGAGACCCTGCCTCATTTGAAGAGAGGCTGGTAACTGGCAAGGGATTGGGTAGGGTGGCATAGACAGGTTTGAATTGAGATTTGCCTTTGCAAGGGCAAATTAGAGTGAAAATAGTCCTAGCCGGTTTGGCTCAGTGGATAGAGTGTCAGCCTGCGGACTGAAGGGTCCCAAGTTTGATTCTGGTCAAGAACACATACCTGGGTTGCAGGCTCATGCAGGAGGCAACCACTCATTGTGCTTCTCTCACATCAATGTTTCTCTCCCTCTCTCTATGTTTCTCTCTCTCTCTCTCTGTCTCTCCCTCTCCACTCTCTCTAAAAATCAATGGAAAAATATTCTTGGGTGAGGCTTAACAACAACAACAAAAAGTGAAAATGAAGTATAGGACTGTTATAGCTTTTAAACATACTTTTCAGCATAATCCATTTTAATTTGGGAGGATTTGCTTTTTTTTCAGATATTATGCATTAAGTAAGTTGAAGCTTACCATTTCAATTTGTATAATTCAGATGCACTCAAAATGCAGCCACATAACATGCACATTTGAAAATTAATCCTTCTTTTTCTTGATTTTAGGTTCCTATTAATTCGCTTAAAAGAATTTTGTGGGGAATTTCTCAAGAAGAAACTTCATCTCTCTAATTGTGTGGCCATTCATAGCTTAGCTCACATGTATACCCTGAGCCAACTTGCTCTGAAAGCTGCCGATATGATACGGAGAAATTTCCACAAAGTAATTCAGGATGAGGAATTTTATACTTTACCTTTCCATCTTATTCGAGACTGGCTGTCAGACTTGGAAATTACGGTTGATTCCGAAGAGGTTCTTTTTGAAACAGTTTTGAAGTGGGTTCAGAGAAATGCTGAAGAGAGGGAGAGATACTTTGAAGAACTTTTTAAATTGCTCAGATTGTCCCAGATGAAACCTACCTATCTTACTCGGCATGTCAAACCAGAGAGGCTGGTGGCCAATAATGAAGTTTGCGTCAAGTTAGTGGCTGATGCAGTGGAGAGGCATGCTCTGAGAGCTGAGAACATACAGTCTGGTACATTCCAGCATCCTGCTTCTCATGTCTCATTATTACCTCGCTATGGACAAAACATGGACGTGATCATGGTTATTGGAGGCGTGTCGGAAGGAGGGGACTATTTAAGTGAATGTGTGGGATATTTTGTTGATGAGGACAGATGGGTAAACCTGCCCCATATTCATAATCACCTGGATGGCCATGCAGTTGCAGTAACGGAATCCCACGTGTATGTTGCTGGATCAATGGAACCAGGTTTTGCTAAAACTGTGGAAAGATATAACCCAAATTTTAATATATGGGAACATGTTTGTAGTCTGATGACAAGGAAGCATTCTTTTGGGCTAACACAAGTCAAAGGGAAGCTCTATAGCATTGGAGGACATGGCAACTTTAGTCCTGGCTTTAAAGATGTTACTGTTTATAATCCTGAGATTGATAAGTGGCACAACTTGGAATCAGCACCAAAGATTCTTCGAGATGTCAAAGCACTAGCCGTGGAAGACCGGTTTGTGTATATCGCTGCCCGCACTCCTGTGGATCGGGACACTGAAGATGGATTAAAGGCCGTAATCACCTGCTACGATACAGAGACTCGACAGTGGCAAGATGTGAAATCTTTGCCACTTATTGACAATTACTGCTTTTTCCAAATGTCTGTGGTCAATTCCAACTTTTATCAGACGGCATCATGTTGTCCCAAGAGTTATTCTTTGGAAAATGAAGAGGCAGTCAGAAAAATCGCCAGCCAAGTTTCCGATGAGATCCTTGAAAGCTTGCCTCCAGAAGTCCTAAGCATTGAAGGAGCAGCCATTTGCTATTACAAAGATGACGTTTTCATTATTGGAGGCTGGAAAAACAGTGATGATATTGACAAGCAGTATCGGAAAGAAGCCTACCGCTATTGCGCTGAGAGGAAGAGGTGGATGCTGCTTCCTCCCATGCCGCAACCTCGTTGTAGAGCCACTGCTTGCCACGTGAGAATCCCATACCGGTACTTGCATGGCACACAGAGATATCCTATGCCTCAAAACTTAATGTGGCAGAAGGACCGGATCAGACAGATGCAAGAAATACATCGGCACGCCTTAAACATGCGGCGAGTGCCAAGCTCTCAGATCGAATGTTAGGTTCTCTAATACCTGAAGCTTAAAACAGTCACACACCTGTTTTGTGAAGCTGAAGATACCAGACTGTTACTTGAAAAAGTGTGTCAATAACTTATTTTCTACCTGAATTGATGATTGCCCCCTATAAAGGAAATATAGTTAAAAACGGAAGACTGGGAAACTCAATTCAATACGTGGTAATTTTGTTAGCTTGCAGTCTTTTTCTGCCTTTGGTCTCTGTCTTTAGTTTGTGTGTATGTGCTAGCTAAATAAGATCTTATTAAAGACAAATGGGAAAACCAGGCGTAGTTACTTGGCTGGTTTTCTGCTAAGAAGGTATAACTCCTTTGTCTTAGGACTTAGGTTTTGAACATGCTTTAAGCACCAATTTTATTTGCACATTTACCTTGATATTCCTTTTCACTTTTTTCCTGAATGGTTGGTTTTGACAAGATCAGAATTTATGCATTGAGCCCTCATTTGCAAGAGGTATGTGCAATAGTAGGACTGAAATTTGAAGGAAAAAGCACAATATTTTAGCAAGATGATTTTAGAATTTTTGCTTTGACATTTTGTTTATCTAGAAATGCTGTTTTGTTTCCTTCTAGAAGAGAGGACTGATGAGAAATTTGTACCTGGCTCATGCATTTTTTTGGAATATTTTTCATTTCTTTAGCCAACTGAGTTATTGACTTTAAGCTGTCACTCTGAAATGATGGTAGTTGGCGCAAGTATTGATCTTTAGCTGATTGATTGAATACAGAGGATATTATATATGTGAAATTTGTTTCTCTGAGAAGTATTGGTGCAGTCTGAGAAATCAAAGGCATTAAAAATTTTTAAATACTTTTTTCAGGAATTGCAGGCTTATATGAGGATAAGTTCATGAGTGTAAATAATGCTTATGACAATCGACACTCAATGCCTTCAATTTTAAATTTTGCTCTAATGCATATTTCATAGGATCTTCATTCCTTTCTAAAATGTTTTTTTGAAATGGAAAGGGAATAACAATTTAAACAAGCCTTATTTCTCAGCCCCCATTGTTATAATGTCATACCCAGTTGCCCTGGACTTTTTTTTAAAGAAGACTTTATTTGAGCCAAACTGACCACATATGCTGGGAGCAGGACCTCAAATGCTCCCCAGTTGCCATGAACTTTAATTGGAACTTTGCCTGAGCCTGGAATACCAAATTTAAGGGCATAATTCTGGCTCTTCAAAATTTACCACTGTAGTTATTTTTAATTTATTTTTAGTCATTCTTCTGATTCTCTTAACACATTCAAACGCTTTATACAATTTAGCACTTGGTTTGACTGTTTTAGCACTCAGTAACTCCTACTCTTACTGTTTGCAGTGTGGGTCCAGTATAGTTTTCTTGTTTTCTACTATCGTAGGCATTCCCAAACACTGTCCTAGAAGAATTCTAAGTGCATTCATTTTTTCCCCTACTGCATTATAGTTAACCTCCTTATTAGTTGTATCAAACACTAAAAAAAGTACAACCAGAAATTTTAGCTTTCAGCTGCAAGACTACTAATGTTTAGCCCTTGGACTCTACTAAGAATTTTCCTGAAATTTCTAAATTGATATCACTAACTACGATGGTTTTTCAATAAACGTGTTGGAAATCTGCTTTAAAACCATTTCATTTAGACGGGGGTGGGGATCGGAACTGCAAGTCATATTTCTCTATGAGGATATATTATCCCACCCCAACCATTTTCTCAATTTCTATGTATTTGTGGTTAGTTTAATAAAAGCCATTGGATTCTGAGAAATGCTGATACTTAGTTGTGAGAGATCTATGCAAGTAAGGCAGAAAAGCCCAATGCACGAAGTTCTCATTTCTCTGATAGGCTGTGCTAGCCTTCCTTTTCCTGGCTGTGTAAAGCAGTAGCTCACCAGGATGCCAGCTTCTCTCTAGAAGGGTGTGATGCAGGATTGGGGGCCAGCGGGTTTTGTCTCAGACTTTTCTGAGAGTCACCAATTTATTTGGAAGGTTGTCTCTTTTTCACATGATATGGCAGACCTTATAACTCAAAGATCTAGGTATAATCTGGTTTTGAAAACGTGATTGAAATTGTTGTTTTTTAACTTAGCAGGCAGCCTAGGCCACGGGTGGAAAGAAGGGGTAAGTCCTTCCTTGCATGATGATGTGTGCAGGTTTTCCTGACTACTGATTGCTAATTTTCGTATTTGAATTCACATGTGTGATTTCACATCAATAACTTGTGTTTCTGAAATAGACTAACTTGTTAATCAGGAAAGAAACCAGATTTGCTTAAATCTTTTCCAGACTGACATTCTGAAATTCCAAACTGGAAATAACTTCCCAGCGTTTTTGGAAAGGTTCTGAGTACAAAGAACCTAAAATGCCTTTTTGGGGGGGAAATGTCCTTTTTGATGAAAACTTAAAGATTGTGTTTGGTAATTTAAACAGATAAAAATACAGCTTTAAAAAGGCAATTAATGTGTATTTAAGCAAATCTTGTTTTGTTGCTTTTGGTATTTGTGGAAGTAAAAGAGGAATTGATTATACAAAAAGTAACAACTATACATAACTTTGAGTGAATCTACTTCTATCTCAGAATGGATATCTTAACTATACCTACCCTGCCATGGTTTAAAAAAAAAAATCAGTGGTATATATTAAGAATGTCAGTCATGATCTTAGTGTTCAAGTGTCTCACTTGCAGTTATTTGCATGATTAGTCTTGTGTATCTTGGTATCTTGGCTTTTGCTGTGCCAATTCAAAAATATTGTGCTAAAAAAATCTAAACATTCATTGACATCAGTTTTGTTTTGATCAGCTGGTTTTGTGTAGTATTTCTGGGACCAAAAAATTTTAAATACTAACTTTTTAAATATAGAACAGACTCTTGGAACTGGAAAGACAGTGTTTATGGAAGATTTGTGTGCTTCTGTATTTTAAATTCTTCAGGCTGATGATAACGCAGTTTCTAGTGCACATGTTTTTTCTTTATGTTTCTTGACTAGTGTAGCATGTGATGTATTTAAATATTCTCTGCTTCATAATTCTAATATGAATACTATATATTGGTAGACAGGTAAGCTAAATTGTGTATTTTAGTTACTTGGCCTAATCAAGCATAACCAAAGGGATTTTTTTTGTGTACTTTCCTCAAATTAAGCTTAAATAAAAAGGGTGTATTGGTCACATTTCATGTCTTTTGAAAACATAGAGAATTGTGAAGCATGTTCATCTGCCTACACTAGAAAACTAGGGTGCCTATAGGTTGCTCTTTAACTGTAGAATATTTGAGAAACAATTCAGTCTCCTTTTTAACTGTCAAACATTTTGGCACAGTTCATCACTCCAGTTTGTTAATCTCTTGAGAGTAGTCCATTTTTGTTTTTGTTAATGTTCTGGTCATTGGAAACAAAAGAGCTCATAGTTGAGTGATGTAATACAATAACAACATAATATAGTAGTCATTTTGCTTCAAAGAATTTAGATAGCCAAATAACTGCTATTTATTGCTTACCTTTGTGGGGCTTTTGTCTTGCTCTATATGACCATTTCTGCAACAGTGAAGCACATACAATAGAGCACTTATTAACTTAATCCTCCTGCCTTATGCACTCATGAAAAGTAGTGCTTGCTAGATGTTTGAAGATCTTAGGATCCCTGTGCTTAGGGCTCATTGAGTTATTTGTAACATCAGTACTTAGTTCAAGCGATGTACAGTGAGTTTTGGGAGCTAGTAGTATCCAAGCTCCTACTCAACTGAACGTATAATTTGGACTGTCTCCTTAAGTCAGAGGAGATGTGGAACGTAAGACACTTTGAGACATCACCTTGTATAATAGCTTGTTTTATGTTCCTGAAGCTATCTTGTCCTGTGTTAAAGCTACTAATGGTCTCCATATAAGCTTTAAATAAACGTATTTCATTAGAGCTGGTTTGCATTGTGTAGTTTTTCCTTTTAAGTATGTACTGTTGAATATAATTGCTTTCTTCCTTGAACCCTTTTACTCCCTCATTCGTCCAACCCTTGGCTCCCTTATGGTGAACATTTTCCAGTACTCTTACAAGTTTAAACACTGCATTTATTTTAAAAAAGAATTAATTCTTATTGCTTAGACTTTTTATTAGCTAAATGAAGAGGCTCATACAGGTAAGGTACTTGTTGAAGCGGAGTACTTTACTTCATCTCGCAGTGCTAATCCTGTGAAGTTGTCCCTTCTAGCTGCATATTCCCCAACATTGGCCAGCCCTGGTACCACACAGCAGCTCAGAGCACTGCGATATATGCTCATGTCATGGGCATCGTACCACTCGTCGGTCTTTTCATCATAGCACTCAACATTAAAGGTGGTGGTAAAGCCGTTAAAGCCACCCACCACAAACAAGAGGTCGTCTACCACCTCGATGCCGAAATTGCTACGAGGATTAAACATAGTGGGGATCGTGCGCCAAGTGTTAGCCACTGGGCTGTAGGCTTCTGCACTCCTAAGTCGATTAGCTCCATCAAAGCCGCCTACCTGTGGACAGCAACGGGAACATGATTTACTGTTAGCCACTGATTCTGTTCACCCGGGAGGCCCTCTAAGGGGAGGACTAGTGATTTCATACCTCCCTCTTCCACTGTTCCATGGAACAAAACCTTGTCAAATGCTTACCAGTGGTTGTATAATAGAAAATGGAGGGGAATCATTTTTGTTGTGGTACACGATAAACTCACCGCATACACGTGTTCTCCATAAGCAATTACGCCTATTCCACTCCTCCTGCTTCTCATGGGTGCTATGACTGTCCACTGATTACTCTCAGTGTTGTACACTTCTGCTGTAAACAGGCATTCATTGCCATTGAACCCACCACATATGTAGACCTGTGTGAAGACAGTTCAAGATTATTAAAATGGTTACCTCTGGAGTATGAAAAGGTATGTATATGATATGTGGGGGGCACTTTTATACCAGTCTGTGTACTCTGAGTTTCTTTTTTTAAGTTGATTTTAGAGCGAGAGGATGGAGGGAGGGAGAGAAACATCAACCCGCTGCTCCACCCATTCATGCACTCGTTGGTTGACCCAGGGATCAAGCCCAGAACCCTGGCACATCGGGACAATGCTACAACCGACAATGCTACAACCAACCGAGCCACTAGCCAGGGGCACTCTGAGTTTCTTTTTTCCACATGTACATCTATTGCTTTTTATTTATTTTTACTTTTTTTGTGGTTATACTCTCAGAGTTTATTACAGTGAAAGGATACAAATAAAAACTCAGCCAGGGGAAGAGATTCATGGGTCAGAATAAGTAAGAAAAGATAGTTACAAAGGGTCACTTAGTCATTTGATGGAGTTTGAACTGCCAGATACTGCCATTTCTGTTTTCCATCCACCCCCCAAAAGGAAGAGCATTATTCCTGGGCTTGTTTGCTTTCACATCCCGGCCCTCCCCCCTACCCCTCCCCCCCCCCCGTTTTTTTTTACCTTTCCGTAGAGTGTTGTGGCACTCGCGTCACTCCTCTGTTCATGCATGGGGGCAATGAGTGTCCATTGATTGGTCTCTGGCTCGTAACGTTCAGCAGTGTTGAGACGCACGTAGCCATCAAATCCTCCCATGGCATAGATGAAATTGCTGAGGACTGTCACGCTGACATAGCAACGTCTGGAGTGCATCGGGGCTACCTGGTGCCAAGTTTTCTTGACTGGGTCAAAACGTTTAACACTATTGAAATAGTCTACACTGTCGAACCCCCCAATGATATAAACGTAGCCTTTCAAATAGGCTGCCCCGTGGTAGGCACGGGGACTTTCTTCTTCACAAGTGACATTCACCCATCTGTCTGCCCGAGCATCATATGCCTCAATGGCATTGGTGGGGCTCCCACCACTCCAGCCACCAATTGCAAATAGGATGGCATAGGGTAGGCGGGGCCTGGTGAGTGGGTTGGTGAAGTCAGAATTAGAGGGTCCATTCATGTTTAGGTCATACATGGCTTTTAGGGCATTAATGATGACTGGCTTGCATTCCTCACTGTCTTTGACATAGTCATTCATCTTAACATTGTTCATGAAGTACTCGGCATGCATTAGGGCCAGGCGAACCTAAGGAGGAAATGCAGCAAGTCATTTAAAGTGAGGTGAGGAGGCCTGAAAAACCCCTTAGCCCCTTGGTTTACAGCCTGCCTTTGAATTGCAGTGGGGTCATGTTTTGTTTTGTTTTGAAATTTACAACTTAAACACTTTAAATATCTGTTTTTAAGAGGTGGTATACATTTGGATCCTGAGGATGAGCTAGAAAATGATCAGCAAGCTAGCTCATTCCTTGACCACCAGACTATGCTACTAGATCAAAAAAAAAAAAGTTGAAGTAATTTTTCTGTGAATGAATATCTGTCTCTGTATGTAAAATAACACAAATTAACATCAAATGGCTACAACTCCAGTTTCTCTCTTGGGTTTGGGGAAACTCAGAATGGACAAAGGTAAAAAGAAGACTCTAGAATTCTTTTGAAGGCCTTGCCCTCTCCTTCCCCCACAGCCAGGGAGAATTTTGGTCAAAGACTAAAACTGGGGGGTGGAGGGGTGGCAAAATGCCCTGGCTGGTGTGACTCTGCTGGTTGGAGCATCGTCCCGGACACCAAACAGTGGCTGGTTCGATTCCCGGTCAGGGCATACACCCAGGCTGCAGATTCTATCCCCGGTCGTTGTGTGAGCAGGAGGCGACCGACTCACATTGATGCCTCTCTCCCTTCCTCTCTCTAAAAAAGAAAAATAAATATAATAAAAGAATATAACTGGGATAAAAGGAACTAGCCATGCCAAGGGTAAAGAAAATTGCAAGATTCCAGAAACTAGTAGGAGATGCCTTCTCTACAAATATATGTAAATACAGCCCTGGAATCTGTCAAACATCTGAATATAGTTCTTAGGACAACCTGACTGGGATAAATGAATCAAAAGTGGTCAATTAAGCATCCTACAAAAAAAAATAATTAAACTTGACCTTGGGGAGCAAAACTGAAATATGCTGCTTCCTATTTTGGGAGTCATGAGCAATCCATTTCAAAATGGCCTCAAACACAGCGTCTTCTTGTTTGACGTTCAGCTCATCTTTCTCAATGATATCCTTCAGTTCAGTGACTGAGAGCTCCAAAAACTCGGCCGAGACTTTCACCATCTCCTCGAAGTTGTGCAGGATGAACATGTAGGCCTTCTGCCTGAGCTCCGGGCAGTAGTAGTAGTCTGTGAACTTGCAGATGCCGATACAGTTATCCAGACACAGCTCTGACTTGAGGAACTCACAGCAACCCCTCACGATACCCATGATGTTAAACTGGTCCGCAGCAGCCAGCAGCTTCTCCACGTTGTCCGGTGTGATAGGGACGGTCCTGGTATACGCATATTCAATAATCAGTTTCATCATGTCGGGGGAGATGCCAGGAATGTTGTATACCTTCTTTTCAGTGTTGTTCCAGCCACTTGTAAACAAAGCTCTGCAAAAAGGGGAGGAACGAGCCATCACTGAAACATCTCTCTCCAGTTTGCCATGTTCTCCCCACTTTGTGTTGTGGAGAGTTTGGACACTTTCCAAAGAGGGCATTGAAAATAAGTGGGCGGGAGGAAGGAGAGGGGCAGGGCAGGCTGCCTTATACAGTGGGTGAGAGAACCTTCCCAAGAGCTTTGATTTTGGTCACTCTTATCCTCATGCTAACGATAACCTTTTCCCATTTTGTGGATGGAAAAATCGGGTTCTAGAGCTCGGTGTAAGACCCAGGTCTCTTCTGTCTCAACCCCATTGCCCACCAAATTCAAGGAATCTTCAACACATAGCCATAATCTAATCAATTCTATCGCTACCTCCTTGGTCCAAGCCACCACGGTCTCTTGCCTAGATTGGGAGTAACCGCCTAACTGATTGGCTCTTGACACCTCCAGAATTTAGTCTTATCTAAACCACCAGTGTTCCTCTTAAAACCTTCCATTGACTTCCCTTCTTAGAGTAAAATACAAAGTCCTTCCAGGGTGGCTTAAGTGGCATTATTATCTACCGAAGTCCCGTGAGATCTGGGCCAGTCACAGCTCTCTGACGGTAGTTCCTCCCGCCTTCCCCCTCTGTTTCAGCCCTGTTCGCCTTGCGTTCCTTGACTACATCAGAGATGCTTCCACCTTTGGGCTCTACCTGCTGTTCCTTCTGCCTGGAATTCTGCCCAGATCTCTCTCTCTCTCTCCTTCATCCCCTTGCAGTCTTTGCTCAAATGTAACTTTGTCAGCAAAGTGATAACCCCATTTAAAACTGCCATCCACGCTACCTACCTTTTTTTTTCCTTAGCACTTACAATCTGACATGTAGTTTATTTATTTAATGCCTCTTCCCCCTACCAGAAGGTAAGCTTCATGAGAACAGGAATGTTTAGCTCTTTACTCATTGTTTTATTTCCAATACCCACTATAGCGCTGGTCGCAAAACAGGCACTAAATAAATAATTATTGAATAAGTAAGTGACTGCTATTCCACTCTGTAGCTAGGTACTGAACAAGACAGAATTCCCTTCCATAATATATTGTGCTTCCTTTTTCTAGGAGGTCTCAGGGACTATGGGCTTAAAGATAAAATTCTTCTCTAGAGCAGGGGTCTGTAAATACAGCCTCCGAGCCAAATTCCACCCACGCCTTCTTTTTGTACTGCCCACAGGTAAGAATGCTGTTTACATTTTTAAATGGGGTAAAAATGAAATTCAAATTTCAGTGTCCTTTCACTTACTATTGTCTATGGCTGCTTTCCCACTATAGAGGCAGAGTAGAGTAGTTGCATATGACAGAGACTATATGGCCTGCAAAGCTTAAAGTATGTGCTAGCTGGTCTTTTTATAGACCTTGCTGTAGATCACCATGAGAATTTTTAGCAACAGGTGGGACACATTTATCATATCTTGATTGAAATTGATTACCCAAATATTTTCAGCTCATGAACAAAATAGCTCTTCCATTTCCTGGGTTACAATGGTTTGGACACAAACCACACCGCCCCCCCCCCTTTTTTCTCCTGATAAATATTTATGTGGTTCTTCCCCTGCATCCATCCCCCTTTCCATCCCCTCAATCCTTGATAATTTATCACCCTGTTCAAGCTCGTCTCTACGGGATAGGGGGATAGGGGGATAGGGGGATAGGGGGATAGGGGGACAGGGGGATAGGGGGACAGGGGGATAGGGGTGGCCGAAGTGGCATTATTATCTAGGTTTAAGTAGGAAACCCCGTATGGATGCTCAACTTTCCCAAAGGTTGGTTAGAGTGAGAATCAAAGGGAAAAAGCAGCGGGCCCACCAAGAGTTGGTTGAGATCCAATTGAAAATCAGGGGGAAGGGAATCTGGCCCTAGTTGTGCCTCTTCAGATGACAGAGGAGCCAGGCTCCCGGAGCCCCGTGCTGGGACAGTGTCCCTCAGCTTAAGACGGTGGGGTGGGAACCATGAAATGAACCACGTCTGAAATGCACCCAATTCCCCCTCAGGCTTAGCCCGGCAACCCTGCTGTACCTAAAGTAGGAACTGCAGCTACAGAGGATGTTCTTGTGGGCATTGAACTCAAAGCCATTGACCTTGATGACCACGTCGCAGAGCTTGCCCTCCAGCCTGAGCTCGTTGAAGATCTCACAGGTCATCGCACTCATCTTCCTCTCCATGTGAGGTTGGTGGAAACGTGTGGAGGCCGCCTTGTTCTCCATCTCCATGGCACCCTGGGACCAGCCGCGGGAGGCTGTTCTCCGAGGGTGTCGGGGAGGGTTGTGGGGGGCCCCTTCAGCCAGCTGTCGCTCCTTTTCCCTACTACATCTTTCATGTAGGGTCCATCAGGCAGCCCAAGTTCCAGAATCCTGGGCCTGAGTGAGATCACTCTCAGGATTGTGCTCTCAGGTTCTGGAATTCTCTGCAATGGGAAACCAGAGAAGAGGGTCTGGCCCTAGCTGTGCCTCTTCAGAGGAGGAAGGACCCAGGCTACGGGAGCCCAGCGCTTTGACAATGTCCCCAAACTTAAGCTGGTGGGGTGGGGAACATGAAATGAACCAAGCTGTCTGAAATGCGCCCTGTTCCCCCTTAGGCTTAGTCGGGCAACCCTATGACGTCTAAGGTCCCTGTCCTCCTTCCTCCCCGCCCCCCCCCCCCCCCCACCACACACACACCAGGACCGCGACCACCAACACCATGTAAGGGTTTTTATTAGCTCAGGTTCCTGTTGCCCGCTTGGCATCCCTGGGGCATCCATCTGCCTCCTTCCACAGCTCCGCACTGGCCCCCGACACCGCGTTCATGGAAACCAGGCCAGAGGAGGCAGAAGGGAGAAGCAACATGATGAGCTGTCATTCTGGCCCAGCTGTCCAGGCCCCTCCTGCGCTCTGGACACGAGGTAGACACTCAGCATCTTCTGTGAGGCGCGGGCCCAGAAACGCCTTCTGGGTGTTCAACCGCACCCGCCGTGGGGCTCCTGTACCCCCCTCCATCCTGCGGCCCTTTCCTCTGCAAACGAAGCCCGAAGCGACCACGCTTGCTGGGGTTTTTGCTCTAGAAAGAGCGGCACCCAGTCACCCCAACCCCTTGGGACTGTCACCCTCCTCCACACAGAGCCCCCAACAGGGTCATCCCCAGCGCGGGGCGCAGCGGCCCGGGCCCGCCGGCCTCCCAGGCCCCGCCCGCTGCGATCCCGGGTCCGGGGCGGGGACGAGCCTGCGCAGTGCGGCGGCGGGGCGGGCACCCGGCGCGGGGCCGGTGCGGCTGCGGCTGCGAGCACCATGGCGTAAGAGGTGAGGCGGGAGGGGACCGGGCCGCGACGCGCGGGCCCCCGAGCCCCCGGGCGCGCCGAGGCCTCCAGCGGGGCGCCTGGCTCCGCCCCGGCCAGTAGGCGCCCCCAGCCCGGCCGGAGCCCCCGCTCCACCCCCCGCTCCCCTCGGCCCCGCGCGGTGCCGGGGTCAGCCGTTCTCTCGGGTCTCGGGACAGGTGAGCCCCCTGATGAAGGCCACGGTGCTGATGCGGCAGCCCGGGCGGGTGCAGGAGATCGTGGGCGCCCTCCGCAGGGGCGGGCGAGACCGCTTACAGGTACCGCCGGGCGAGGTCGGGCTGGCGCGGGGGGCGGGGGGCGGGAGGGGGGCTGGGGGGCGTCCTGCCCGTGTGCCTTCCCGCGTGGTTGCGGCACCTGCAAGCCCTCAGCCCCTGGAAATGACCCGGCTGGTTCGCCTGTTTGGGGAAGAGCCCACCTGCCCTAAAATTCTCTGTGAGGTCGTGCTGCTGCCTCTGATGAGACAGAAGGCACCACACCAGGCCCTGGGGCCCCTTCTCCAGCCCAGCCCAGCCCAGCCCAGCCCAGCGCAGCGGGCTCCCCAGGACATTGCAGATGTGGAGATGGGTCCTAAAGGACGGGCCAGGGCACTGAGATGGGTGCTATTGAAAGAGCCAACGGGATCGTGATTCTTCAGCATCCGCTCCCCCCCTCCCAGGGTGGGCCTCCGCAGGGTTAGCACTGGACCGACTGCGATTAGTCCTTCCCTCCCCCGGTAGCCCTCCCTGACCCCCCAGGGCTTTGCCCATAGTCTGGTCGCTGAGCCCTGGGACTTCCATCCTCCTCCTCCAGGCTGACGCAGGGCCACACCAGAAGGAACCCATCTAGGCATCATCTCTCTTTTGCATTTTAGGTCATTTCTGATTTTGACAGGACCTTGAGCAGGTTTGCCTATAACGGAAAGCCATGCCCTTCTTCCTACAGTAAGTCACGTACTAGCTTGCTTTGTTGGGCTTGACACGACAATGGCTTCTAAGGGGCGAGTGAAGGGAGCTTTGTGTTTTTGCAGATATCCTGGATAACAGCAAGATCATCAGTGAGGAGTGCCGGGAAAAGGTGAGCGAAGCCCCTTCGTCGCTCAGGATTGCTGTCCCCTGTTACTTCATATGGCTCTTGCTTAGGACCAAAGAGTCCCGAATAGAGACCTTAGAAGTGAGAATTTTTTGTTGTTCTTTCGCTCAGGTGGACCTAGTTTTGATACATTGGGATAGCTTTTCCTTGTTGGCCACGACATGTTGTTACTGGCAGGGGGACCTGCCCCTGGGCGGGTCTGCCTAGGGCCAGCCGAGAGCGTGTGGGTTCTTGACTTAGTGCAGGAAAAATTTCACAACACGAGTGCAGGTGGATTTTAAGGACGTTTATTAAAGCGGGAACAGTGAAACAAGGAGGGGCTGGGGAAATGAGCCTAGGCTGGGCTGCTTGGCTCACAAAGTCAGAGGAAAGGGGGCCTTGGGGAGGTTCAGGGGGTTTGCCCGGGATGAACTGCTGCTGCCCTGGTTGCAAGAAGGGGGAGGGAGGGCCGGAGTGGCAGCCTGAGGCCTCCTGGCACTGGGTCCTTTTATCTCTCTCTCTTTTTATTTTTTATTTTAACAACTGCATTTAATATGGAAAAGTGAAACAAATACACAACAGCATAAACAGCATACCAGAGGCAGCCTTGAAAAAACCATGCTGAAGAGAGAATAATTAGACAACAGGGGGACTATGCCTGGTTTTACCCTAAAGCGTTCATAGTTTTCCTTTTAAACCATATACAAATACAGTAATCTCTGAAGGATTTGGCAAAAGTTTATTTTCTATTTTCAGTCTTTTAAAGTAGACACTGATTTACTTAGAATGAAGCTGAGTCTCAGAGCACGCAAAAAAATGAACACAAATGAGCCTAAATGCAGCAATCCCGAGTGGGGACAAGGAAGGTGCTTTAGCAGGTGTCCTAGGTGCATCATCTATGTGGTCACTACAGTCACCGCCCTGCCCCAGCACGCAGGCCATTGTCTGCACTGCACAGGGCCCGGCCTGTGCCCTGGGCCCTATCACACACACATCAGAACAGCTAACAGTGAAGCGTGGTCTTCACAGACACCTGCATCCACATACAGGGTGCCCTACAGCAGTGTGAATGTAAGGCCCACATGTTTATTTGGGATAAACTATTTATGGAGTCACTTTAATAACATTATTCATTCTTTCAAAATAGGGAGAATTTTAACTGAATTAAGGTTACAGATAATTAAAATACATACATCATGACTAGCATGGTAAAATTATTTATACTCATATTTATAATGTCAAAGAAAAGTTACCACCACATTATTCCAGTAGTATTAGTGTGACATGCTCATTGATTGATCCCACAGGTAGGGTTGGTTCTAGGTTGGTTCTAGGAATCTTAGGGAGGGTTTCAGCAGAATATTCATCACTTTTCTGGGTGTGCTCCTTCAGGGTCGCGGTCTCCACTGATCAGTGTCAGGCAGGGCGCCTGTTCATTATTGCAGCTGGTCCTGGTGTCCCCGCCCCCCTGGTTTTGCTGCTTTTCTGGGTCTGGAGCTGAAATATAACTGAGGCCTAGATGTTCTCTCTAGGGAGGCGACCTTCTGTTTCTGCTGTAAATTGCTCTTCAGTTTGTTCAGCTGTCTGTTCCCTATTCCACTTGTCCTGGCTTCCTGGCCTGTCTCAGTATGACAGTTGATAGTTGGAGTATGGACATGATGCTCACAGTTAGCTAGAGAGTATACAAGAGACTTCGCTGTTATTTAACCCCACAACTTCAAGAGGGGACCAGAACCATTATTGTCTCCACCTAACAGATGAGAAAGCAGGTTTGGAGAGTAGAGCAACGTACCCCAGGACACACAGCAGGACACAGAGCTTGGCTTCCCGTAGATCAGATTCTGTCCCAGACTCTTCCCACTACATTTGCTCTCTCCTTGATAATCATTTTCCTGGTAAGGCACCCGGTGTTGAGAAAGACATCTGAATTAATGTCAGTACACAGCCACTCCCCTTTCCATAAGATACATACAGATATTCTAAAGCGATCCCTCTGTAGCTTTGGAGTTCATTTATTTCGTCCCGTGTTCTTCCTGTCAGGGTCCTCTTTGCCAGAGCAGAGCCGTGCTAACGGCACGTTTCTCTGTAGGTTGCTGAGCTCTTTCTGCTGAAGAGCTACATCGTTTAGTTCCCCTACTGTATGAAAGTCACTAAATCGCATACGAAGTAGTCTGTCGGTCTGTCGTATCGATTAGCTCTCCCAGTACTCTGTCAGGATTACTCAGGATTAAGATGGGCAGTAGAGCCCAGCCGGTGTGATTCAGCTGGTTGCGCGCCATCCCATGTACCAAGAGGTCACTGGTTTGATTCCAGTCAAGGCACATGCCTAGGTTGTGGGCTTGCTCCCAGGAGGGGTCATGCAGGAGGCAGCTGATCAATGTTTCTCTCTCATTGATGTTTTCCTCTCTCTTTCTCTAAAAAACAAACAAAATCAAAACATATTTTTTAAAGTTTATTAATAATTATTGGTTGTTTACCTGAAATTCATGAAAAAAACAAACAAAAGCTGGGCAGTGGATTATAGATTGTTCTTATATTTCTTTTTTTTTTAATATTTTATTGATTTTTTACAGAGAGAAAGGGAGAAGGATAAAGAGTTAGAGACATCGATGAGAGAGAAACATCGATCAGCTGCCTCCTGCACACCCCCTACTGGGGATGTGCCCGAAACCAAAGTACATGCCCTTGACCGGAATTGAATCTAGGACCCTTCAGTCCGTAGGCTGACGCTCTATCCACTGAGCCAAACCGGTTAGGGCTTGTTCTTATATTTCTAAAACCTGTCTTTTGGGATGCCACTTTTAGTTTAAGGTAGGCTCCACCACTGGTAGCTTTTAGCAAGTCACTTTTTTTCTTAATCTTCACCTTAGTACATGCTTAGAGAGAGGAAGGGGGAGAGAGATACAGTACATCGATGTGAGAGAGAAACATATGTTGGTTGCCTTACATATGTGCCCTGACAGATACAGATTCTACAGAGAAACTGACCAGGGGTCGAACCCACAGCCCAGGTACGTGCCCTGACTGGTAATCAAACCGGCAACCTTTCGGTGCACAGGATTACACCCAACCAACTGAGCCACTCTGGCTGGGCTAGCGAGTCACTTTTTTTGGTTCCTTGAATACCTGATTTATCAACTTCCAGGAAGCTGTGCCCTCTAGGTTTGATTGTCCTCTCTCGGATAAAGAAACTGGAGAAAACTAAATTTTTTGGTGTTGATGGGCTCCTGAAAAAATTAATAAAGCAAAGTTTATATATGAAATCTTTTTCTTCTTTTTTTGTTAATCCTCACCCAAGGATATTTTTCCCCATTGATTTTCAGAGAGAATGGAAGGGAGGGGGAAAGACAGCGAGAGAAATATTGATGTGAGAAAGACACATTGATTGGTTGCTTCCAGCACATGCCCTGACCGGGGTCGGGGATCCAGCCTGCAGCCAAGGCACCTGCTCTTGACCAGAATCGAACCCATGACCCTTCAATCTACGGGCCGACACTCCAACCACTGAGCAAAACCAACTAGGGCAGCGGTTGCCCACCAGTGGTCCGTGAGGTCCAGAAGGTTGACCGCTGTGCTAGGGCATTTATTTAGTTATTATTTTTTAAATATATTTTTATTGATTTCAGAGAGAAAGGGAAAGGGAGAGAGATAGAAACATCAATGATCAGGGAGAATCATTGGCTGCATCCTGCACACCCCATACTGGGGATTGAACCTGCAACCCAGGCACGTGCCCTTGAATGGAATTGAACCCGGGACCCTTCAGTCTGCAGGCCGAAACTCTATCCGCTGAGCCAAATCTGTCAGGGCAGGAGCTTTCGGTTTGGTCAGTGTGCGATCTTTGCATTTAACCCATATATATATATGTATATATATACACACACACACACACACACACACACACACTTTTTTTTCATTATTGATTTCAGAGAGGAAGGGAGAGGGAGAGATAGAAACATCAATGAGAGAGAATCATGGATCAGCTGCCTCCTACATCCCCCCTTCTGGGGATTGAGCCCGCAACCTGGGCATGTGCCCCGACCAGGAATCGAACCGTGACCTCCTGGTTCATAGATCACAAATCAAGCACTGAGCCACGCCCACCGGGCTGATTTGTCTTCTTGTGCTGGACAGTAGGACTTGGCTGGGGAAAACCTGAGGGACTAATGGCTTTTCTCTTCCTTTGGGTGCCCAGCTGAAAGCGCTCCTTCACCAGTATTACCCGATTGAGATTGACCCACGCCGGACCGCCAAAGAGAAGTCACCGCATATGGTGGAGTGGTGAGTGGTGGTGAAAGCCCTGGCCCTGCGGGGGTCTGTCCAGGCGGGGGCCTGGTTTTCCTGAGCTCTGATGAGATGACAGACTTCCTTACCTTACTGGACGCTTAACTGAATGCCACAGGCCCAGCTAGTAGAACAAATTGTCCAGACACACCTGGAGCTGCCTGTGACCGCTGCTGGTGGTGGCCCACCAGGCGTCCTCAAGGGAGTTAGAAGCCCCTTGGTGTGGGGGAGTCAGTGCTCTGGGGAGACAACCTTCCTATGAAACCAGTACCACTGCACAGAGCCCCAGTGCTCCAAGGGGCTCCCGGAGGAAGGGGTTCAGAAGAGCTTTGACTTCAGCAGTTAACTCACCTGCCTCCTGTCTCTCACTTGTGCTGCTTATTGATTCTAGAGCGAGGGGACGGGGGAGAGGGTGAGAACATGGATTGGTTATCTTTATTTTTTTAATGTTTTTATTGATTTTTAAATAGGGAGGAAGGGAGAGGGAGAGAGAGAGAGAAACGTCAATGAGAGAGACACATCTATCGGCTGCCTCCTGCACACCTCCTACTGGGGATGGAGCCTACAATCCAGGCATGTGCCCTGACTGGGAATCGAACCCAGAACCTCTTGGTCCATGGGACAATGCTCAATCTCCTGAGCCACGCCAGCCAGGCTCCATTGGTTATTTTCTGTACATACCCTGACCGGGGCTCGAACCCGCAACCCAGGTATGTGCCCTGACCGGGAAATGAAACTGCAGCCTTAGGTATCCAGGGTGAAGCTCCAGCCAACGGAGCCGCGAGGGCCGGGCGCTCCCTCCCTTTCTAAGGACAGCCAGGGTTCTCCAGGAAACGGTTCTGTGGAAACAGATGAGGCCACCTCCATTGTCAATCCTTCCAGAGGGGACTCGGCCCTGAAAAGGGAAAAGTCGTTTTACTGATCTGAATTGGGGGTTTGTGGGGGGTTTGTTTCTAGGTGGACCAAAGCACACGATCTCCTGTGTCAGCAGAAGATTCAGAAGTCTCAGATAGCCCAGGTGGTCAGAGAGTCCAACGCAATGCTTAGGTAAGCTGCGTGCTCTGGGGAACATTTGAAACTGGTTTGCTCACAAAAGGAGGCTGGAAGCCCTACCCGGTTTGGCTCAGTGGATAGAGCGTCGGCCTGCAGACTGAAGGGTCCCAGGTTCGATTCCGGTCAAGGGCATGTACCTTGGTTGCGGGCACATCCCCAGTAGGGGATGCGCGAGAGGCAGCTGGTCGATGTTTCTCTCTCATCGATGTTTCTAGCTCTCTATCCTTCTCCCTTCCTCTCTGTAAAGGATCAATAAAACATATTAAAAAAAAAGTTGATTAGATTCATTTAAAAAAAAAAAACACAAAAGGAGGCTGGAAGAGGGGCGAGGGGAGTTAGATGCTGGGAGAGTTAGAAGAGACCTGGCGCCATGAAGTGGGGAAGGTTTTGCTTTCCCTCTCTGGCTATGGCTAAAGAACTTTCTACCCTTGGGTACTGCCTAGGAAGTAGTCTGCTGGTAGTGTATGTATTGTTCTACACCATTTTTAAAATTTTATTTTTACTTATTTACTTTTTAAATATATGTTTATTATTTCAGAGAGGAAGGGAGAGGGAGAGAGAGATAGAAACATCAATGATGACAGAATCATTGATCGGCTGCCTCCTGCATGCCCCACACTGGGAATTGAGCCCACACCTGGGCATGTGCCCTGACCGGGAATCTAACCGGCAACCTTTCCCAGCATGGGACGATGCCCGATCAGCTGAGCCACAGCAGCCAGGGCCGTGCCATTGTATATAAGGGACTTGAGCAGCCTTGGATGTTGGTATCCATGGGGGTCTTAGAACCAATCCCCCAAAGTTTTGGGGGCATCACAAGTTGTACGTGGATTTTCTATTGCACAGGGGTCAGCACCTCTTACCCCTGTGTTACTCAGGGTTCAATTGTAGTACAGAAACAAAAACAAAAAAATATGAGCCTGTTCATATGACGTTCAGGGACAGGCAAAGCCAATCAGTGGTGATATGAAGTCAAAATAGGGAAGGATGGCGTTGACTGGGAGGAACACGAGGGAACATTGATTGATCTGGTTGGTAATGACATGGGTGTATACATAGGTCAATATTAATTGAGCTGAACACTTTAGTGCACTTTAACCACTTACTTTATGTATTTTATACCTCAATGGAAAATTTTTTAATCTAAAAATATATAACCCAAATAGAAAATACAGAGCAGTAACAGAGGCAGTGCCATTTCAGAATCCCTTCATCTCTTTCCAGGGAGGGATACAAGGCGTTCTTCAACACCCTCTACCAAAATAACATCCCCCTCTTCATCTTCTCCGCCGGCATCGGTGACATCCTGGAGGAAATTATCCGGCAGATGAAAGTGTTCCACCCCAACATCCACATTGTGTCCAACTACATGGATTTTGACGAAGATGTGAGCCAGATCTCCTTTGGGCTGGGAATGGACATGGGGTGGGAACCACCAGCCAGGGCACTTCACCCTGAACAGTAACCCCAGCCTGGGAGGAGAGGGAGCGGAAGGCGTGCTGGCTTCTGTGTCCTTGGGCAGTATTTCTCTGTTTATTTATGCCTCTAAAGACCCTTACTTTTGAAGGACCTGCTCTTTGGTGTTTGGCCAACAGCTCTCTGCCCTGGGGTCAGCCAGGCCCCATGTCACTGTCACGGTCACGCGCCATCCTGGCTACTCCAGGGGTTGGACTTGTTTTTCTAGGGCCAGAGGTGGGCTGCTCCGACTCACCCACGTTCTAACTTTTTCCCCTTAAAACCAGTGGCCGGAATCTCCATGCCTTTGAACTGTGGTTAGGACGTGGCCTGCAGCGAAGGCTTGGCACACACGTGGCCTGAACTGTGCTTGTATCACAGGCTTCACGCTTCCACCGGAGTAGGTGACCAACAATACTTGATGGCTCCTGGTCGTTTAAAAGTTTAAACCAGGGATTATAAACGTTATAACCTGTGGCGTGATGGGCTATACGACCTCTGTGGCAACTGCTCCGCCCCGCTGTGCGGAAAAGCAGCCACAGAAAGATGTAAACCAGTGGGCATGGCTGTGTGCCAGCAAAACTTCATTTACGAAAATAGGCCACGTTCGACCCACAGGCTCTACACTGCCGACTCCTAGCTTAGACGACAGTGAGGTTTGGGTGTTTTCTGTGGCTTTCAGAGTTCCCTTGTCTCTGTGACAGAGGCCGTGGTAAACTGGTGCTGGCCGGGTCCCCGTAGCCCTCCTGTCGGTCTCTCTTCTTGGTCCTTTAGGGTTTCCTACAGGGATTCAAGGGCCAGCTCATACACACTTACAACAAGAACAGCTCCGTGTGCAAGGACTCCAGTTACTTCCAGCAGCTTCAGGGCAAAACCAACGTTGTCCTGCTGGGGGACACCATGGGGGACCTCACCATGGCCGACGGGGTCCCGGGTGTGGAGAACATCCTCAAGATCGGCTTCCTGAATGACAAGGTGGGTAGGGGCCAGGGCTTCCTCCTTCACGGCCTGCTTCCCCTTCCGTTTCCGTGAACGTGCTTTTCGAGCCGAGCACCTTCTGTGTGCTGCACACGGCGCTCGGTGTTGGAGGTACAGAGGTAAGACACAAGGCCTGTTCTTCAGGAGCAGATTCCGAACCTCGTAGGGAAACGAGACGGCCAGCGATGAACGAGTTCAGAGGCAGAGTGAAGCCAGGCGCCCCCACTGGCTGAGTGCTCACCATGTGCAGGGACATGAACCCGTTCAGTCCTTACAGCAGCCTTTGAGGTAGTGACTGTTAGACCATTTTGCAGACGAGGAAACAGGCGAGGAGGGTAAGTAACTGGCCCGGGTGACATAGTTGAGGAAGCGGCAGGGCTGATCGCCGTCCTCCTAAATCATACCTGTCAGGCCTAATGGAGATGGCAGATGTCCAGGTTTTAGGATGGGGGTTCCCAGTGCAGAGAAGAAAGATACTAGAACAGAGGCCGACGGGTGAAAACAGGACGGTCATCGAGGGCCACAGCGAGGTATCGGATGGAAGGCCACTAGTCCTCACCCTCAGCCAGCACGTGCCTGAGTTCCCCGCGTGCTGGAGCCTGTGGAAATCCAGTCCACGTAGATTAGTGGTAACATCTGGCTTTTAAATTTTAATCCTTGTTACTGTCCTCTTGACCCCAGAGTTTATTGTGGCCGCCTGTGCCCATTGCCATGTGTGTCTCCAAAAGGCAGGCCCTGTGACCTTGAACTCCTCTAGGGGATCTGTGGCTTGAACGCACGCCTCCCCCAACTCCAGGTGCCTGAGAGGCAGCGGCAGTGGGCAGAGGCGGGGCATTTCAGGGACCCTCCGTCTCCCCTCCCCGGCAGGTGGAGGAGCAGCGGGAGCGCTACATGGCCTCCTATGACATTGTGCTGGAGAAGGACGAGACGCTGGACGTGGTCAACGGGCTGCTGCAGCACATCCTGCACCAGGGGGACTGGGTGGAGATGCAGGGCTCCTGAGTGCGCAGGCGCGGCCTGTCTGCAGGCGGAGACACGGGGGGAGCCTCCGTGGGGGCTGCTCTGCGGTGAGCCTGGTGTGTACAGAGGGCAGCTCAGGACATCCACAAGCTGCTGGGTCCGCGCCCTCCCCTCCCCTTTCCCTGGCACATTCCTGTGAGTCCTCCAAGGCCGGAGGGAGGCCCTGGCAGGTGGGAGGCAGCTAAAGCCACTTCCAGCAGCTTCAGGGCAAAACCAGCCTGAATCGGACCTGCAGGCTGTTTGCATCCCGGGGGTCATTTGGTCCAGGATTCGTTTTTTGGTGTTTTTTCAAAAATGTTTAACATGGGATGCTGTTCTTCAAACAAATCGAATGTGTAAAGTAGATAAAAATAAAAGGAGAAACCAGAGCTGTTCTGATTTCGGGGTTGCGGGGGCAGAGCCTGTACCCTTAGGTCCTGGAGGTGCAGGAGCCTTCCAGAAGCCGCTAGGGCTCCACAGAACACGATTTGGAAACCACTGAATGAGCCCCGAAGACCCTCTGAGCACAGGCTGAATATGTCTGTGGGCGTCCGGGTGGCAGGCAGGCAGGGTGTGTTTCTGACCTGGAGTGGTTTGACTTTATGCTGATGCAGCTGTTAAACTGGAAATTCAGTTGGGTTTGGCCAACCCTGTGTGCAGAGCCCCTTTAGAAGTCCCCACAGGGATCCATTTGGGTGTCGATTTTCCGATGACCTTGATTCCTTCCTTCCTCCTCTTGGGGGTCCAGGGCCACTAAAATGGATGATGTAAGTGGCGGGGGGGGGCGGGTTTTGGGACCGGGGACCTGAAGGGAGAAGTCGCTCTGTGGCAAAGTAAACTAGAAGTGGTTTATGTTCTGTTGTCTTGTATTGTTGGGTGTTCTTCAAAGGTTTTTTCCCTTCTCCCCTCCCTGTTGACTTGGTCAAGAACTAGCTGAGCCCGGCCAGCATGGCTCAGTGCTTGAGCATCAACCTATGAACCGTGAGGTCATGGTTCAAGTCTGGTCAGGCCTGGCTTGCGGCTCGATCCCCAGTAGGGGGGCATGTAGGAGGCAGCCAGTCAGATTCTCTCTCATCATCATCGATGTTTCTATCTCTCCCTCTTCCTTCCTCTCTGAAATCAATAAAAATATTTTTTAAAAAGGAACTAATTGAATTCTCTCTGGGGTACCTTTTGAAGAAAATGTAGACCCACCACTTTACCTGGTGTTTTCTTAGCCTGTTCTCGGAGAAATTCGGTCCCTCGCCCTTCCCGTGGGTGCCTGGCTGTTGGAAACATGTTTACCTGTCGATCTGAAGGGGAAGGTCTTGGGGCTGTGGGTGAATCCTGCTGTGGTACCTCTCGTGTGCGCCATTAAACCTCACAGTGACCCGGCCGGTCTAGGTGGCCAAGAAAGGGCCAGCAACTTGCCCATTCCCCGTAGTGAGGGGCTAGAGCGAGGGTGGGGTGTTTCTGGCCAAAGCTGGGCCTGCATCCTGCTGCCCGCACATGGGCCCCGTTAGGTTTGGGCGAGGAGAGGTTCTCTCTAAGGCTGAGTCTGTAGCCAGGGTCAGACCCTGAGGTGCCTCTAGGATGCTCTGGGACAGGGAGTGGCCGTGGGGAGAGGTCACGTCTCGGGATCCTGGGCCAGAAATCTGCTCGTGGGGCAGTTCAGTGACCAGTCCATCATTTTCTCTCCCGAGCACCCCCTCCGACCCCGTCCTGGCATGCTCTGGTCTGCTCCATTGCAGGGCAGGTGAGGGCAGATGGCCTGGCTGGTGGCTGACGCCAACTCCTCCCCCAAAACCCCGGCGATTTGAACTCGGGTACTTTCCTGTGACAAGAGGGAGGATGGGGCAGGTGGCAATGGCCTGCAGCCAGGAGCAGGGAGAGGTGGGAACAGCAGTTTTGAAAATGACCCACGTGAGGGCGGGATCCGGCCTGTGCGATTGAATCTCTCAGCTTTGTGTGTTGTGTTTGAGGTCAGAGACCTCGTCTTTCCGTTCACTTGGGACAGTTCAGAGACAGGGATCATCTGTCCGCACCTCCCCTGCAGGCCCCTCTGTGGTCACCCCCTCCCTGCCCTCCCCCTGGCAGACTGGGGCTCCCTTTCCAGGAGCAGGGCCAAAGGATTGGATCTCGGGGAGGCAGGCAGCTCTGGAGGGAGGAGACCGAGACCCAGGGACAGCCTTGAGCTCACAGGCGTGGAGACGGCCTGCTTTGTTCCCCTTGCTCCTCAGTCCTTGGGTCTGAGAGCCTCCCCCAGTGAAAGACCACGTCCTGAGGCCTCTGGTTTGGTCTTTTATTCGTCACCAAGGAGAAAGATCCGACACCAGTTCAGCTCTGAGTGCAGCTCTGCCGCTCCCTCACCCGTCCCCAACGAGCCTTTCTAAGTTCATCTCAGCTCCGAACCAAGAATTTCACTTCGTAGCTCTGAGACCCATCTAAGTAGGTGTCCTCACCCCACCCATTCATTCCAACGTCCTCCTCAGCCCCTCAGCCTTCTTCGTGGATGAAAGGTGACACAGCCCAGCCCTGACCTGCAGCTCCCCGAGGGGACCCCAGCAGCAGCGGGGGCGGGCAGGTGCTGGGGACCTGGGTGTGGTAGGGCTGCTCTCCTGAGCGCCCCCTTCCTTTGGAGCCAGCTGTGGCTGTGGGAGGAAGATGGGGTTCTGCCAGCCCCGGTCCAGGCCCCTGGGGAGCTGCCATGACGGGGAAGGGGCCGGGCCTGGGGATGGTGAGGAAAGGTACAGAGCGGAGTGTGGGGAAACAGGAATGATTTGCTCGGCCATGCTCCGTGGTGACGTGGAGGTGTGGGTGGGGGGCCGGCAATGGCCCCATCCAGCCCCAGCCTCCACCAGCCCCCAGACTGGCTTTGAAACTCAAGGAATGGCCTGGGGTTGGAGGAGAGAAACCGAGAGGAGATCTGCGCTGTGGGTTTTGCGCTCAGGCTGGTGGGAAGACCAGACGGTCTCCTCTGCCCACTTTGGAGATGCTCAGACCTCTTCCCAGCAGGGGAGGGGGTGACTGTTGGAAGTCACCCTCTGCCCACTGTCCCCAGAGGTGGGCGCTGGTGCGGGCCCGGGCCCAGGCTGTGCGCTCAGAGCTCCTCGTGAACCCGCTCCTGGTCCTCGTCCGTCTTCAGCTTGAGCTCGTCGCTGGTGATCTTGCCGTCCTGGTTGCGGTCCTGGTTCTGGAACATGTCCCCGATGGTTTTCTCCGCGTCCTGCCCTGGCATGAGGCGTCCTTTGCCCTCACTGACTTGAGCCTTGATGAAGGTGGAGAACTGGGGGAGAGGAGAGCCGGGGAGGGGGGAGCGTGAGCCTTGTGCCTGAGCGGCCTTGGGGGGCCAGCCCGTGAGGACTGAGGAGAGGAGCTGGGGCAGGGACAAGGGACCTACAGCTCGGGCCCAGACGGGAGGGTGGACATGTGCCCCGTTCTTGCTAGAGGCCGCCATGCGAGGTGGGAGTGTGGGGATGGGTACTGTCAGGGTTGCTTCCTCACCCACCTCCTCTGGGGGGACCTCGCCATCTTTGTTGAGGTCCAGGTCTTCAAACAGGTTGGCGGGAGGGTCCTGGTGCCACACAAACAGGTAGCCTTCCGGCAGCCCCTCCTCCCGGGAGATCAGCTCCACCTCAAACAGCAGCACAGCACTGCCAGGGACCCCCCGGGCTGGCGGAGGGAGAACGGAAGGAGCCCGGTCAGGCCTGGTCTGGGCCTGGCTTTGGAGCCTGCCCAGTGTGTTCCCAGCTCCAGGCCTGTGACCCCTCTTGGAGGCTGGAGAGTGGGACATGGGGTGTTCACAGAACCAGCCGAAAGGGGTTAAACGGGTGGGTCAGACCGGACCTGCCCCTCACCTCCGCTCTCCCCGTGTGCCAGGTGCGGGGGGACCACGAGCTGCCGCCTCTCCCCCACACACATGCCCCGCAGGCCCGTGTCCAGTCCTTCGATCACCTTGTTGGCCCCCAGAGTTGCCTCCTGGGGGGCCCCGTAGTCATGCCTGGGGAGGAGCAGATTCCCAGGTCAGTGCCCTTCCTCCTCCCACAGCTCACACCTCACAGGTGCCCACCCCACGCAGCTGCGTGCAGGGCCCCAGGCTCGGATGGGACACCTTCTCATCTTGCCACGGCCCCTACCATGTGGCCTCGAGGGCTCAGCTCCCCTACCGCAAGCTTCACCCTCCCTGCCCCTTCCTGCCCCTTCCGCTCCCCAGAGACGGGAACTGATGGAGAAGGGGGTGCTATCTGGAGGTCTCCGCTCACCTGGGCCCACCCACCTGCCCGCCCCGGGCCCCGCCCCAGACCCACGAGGAGAAGAGCTTGGTGCCGTCCAGCAGAGAGCAGTTGTAGTGGTAGCGAACGAAGTCCCCGGACTTGCTGGTCTCGTTGCAGGCCTCGGGGGGCCGGGACAGGGTCTGGATCTCCACGGGGTCCTCGGGGTTATGGAAGTCGATGACGTGGACGTCAAATATCAGCACAGCTGAGCCAGGGATCTTGTCTCCTGGGACCAGAATGGGGCGCGGGTCAGCTTGGCGTCCAGGAGGGGCCCCCCAGGGTCTGCGTGAAACTGCCCTAGGGTTTCACACGAGAAGGGGACGGGGTGTTTGTCCACATAGTCAGTCTCCTAGGGGGCAGGAAGGGAGGGACCTGCCGGTTAGAAAGCCCTTTATACCGCGCAACCTCCGAGCGACTCACCTGGCTGATCAAGGGGATTAGTCCCATCTTACAGGTGAGGACGCTGGCCTTCCAGCAAAGCTGGGTCTCAACTCCAGGTCTCTGCTTCCCAGGGCTAGGCTGTCTCTGTTTTTCCACAAGCACCCCCTCCCCAAACTCAGGAGCACGTTCCCAGGAGGGAAGAGAAGTGGGGGGACTGCCCTGGAGGGAAGGATGGAGTCCGTGTGGCAGGAACTGTGGGGGTGACCGGTTTTGTGATGAGAGGGCAGAGCAGGGGAAGGTCACTGAGGGATTCGGAGAGGAGCTGAGCTACAACAGGCCTACCCGTCCCGTTCTCCCCGTAGGCGAGGTGCGGGGGGATGGTGATCCTCCGGCGCTCGCCCATGCAGGCGCCCTGCAGGCCCTGGTCCATCCCCGGGATGATGTAGCCCTGCCCCACGTAGGTGTTGTACGTGTGGTTGCGGGAGTAGCTGCAGGACGAGGTGGGGAGGCCAGCAAGGGAGTCAGAGGGGCCCCTGCCCTTGCTGACAGCTCAGAGCCACCCCGGGCTGCTGAGGTGACCCCGGCTTCTTGCCTCCCGCCCAGCCCCACCCTCCCTCCTCAGGCCGCGCCCGCCCCTGACCTGGAATCGAAGAGGGTGCCATCCATCAGCGAGCCGTTGTAGTGGTAGCGCATGAAGTCCCCGGCCTTGGCTCTCCGGACACAGCCCGGCGGGAGCTCCAGCGTCTCCAGCTGGACCGTGTCCTTCGGGTTGTGGACGTCGATAAGCAGGACGTGGAAGACCAGGGAGGCCTGCGGGGGGATCACAGTCCCTGGGGACGGGATAGGCTTCAACCATACAGGTGGGGAGCAAACCCGGCTCCTTCTTGACCCAGGAAGGCCTCTGGGAGAACCGTGCGAAAGGGTGCTCCCCCTGCTCTTCGGGGCCCTTCCCTGGCCCTCAGCAGCCCTGTTCCTGCTCCCCCTGTGAGGCCGGAGCTGGGTGTGGCCCCGGGCCACCCACCAGCCCGTCCAGGACCTTTGTGTGAGTCAGAATACAGCTCCCCTTCTCAACGAGATGATCACCAAGGGCCTGATTTCATTCCCACTCGCCTCCTCGGCTGGGTGCCCTTGTGCAGCACACACCCTGAACCACTGTGTGTGGCAGCCGCCGCCGCAGAATCCCCGAGTCCTCGCCTGCCCTTACCGTAGCCCTTCTCGCCATAGGCCAGGAACGGGGGGATGACGATCTTCCTTCTCTCTCCAGGACACATGCTCAGCAGCCCCTGGTCCATGCCCTTGATCAGCCAGCCAGAGCCCACGTAGGTGTCGTAAGTGCCGCCCCTGCTATAGCTGCAGAGAATGAGGTAGGGGTGATGCCGCTGGAGGAGGGAGAACATAGACCCTGGACTCCCCCCACCGGAGCCACGGTCCCCAGCACCCGGGACCCCCCCGGCCCTTACCTGCTGTCGAAGGCGGTGCCGTCCAGCAGTGTGCCGTTGTAGTGGTAGCGGACAAAGTCGCTGTCCTGGACCATGCGGGGGCAGTGGGGCGGGCGCAGCAAGGTGCTCACCTGCACAGTGTCTTCCTTGTTCCACAGATCCAGCAGGACCACGTCGAAGTAGAGGGTGGCGTCCGGGGGGATGAGCCCCGCTGTGAGGGCAGGCAGCAGGAGTGCATGTTTGGTGCAACCCAGGGTGGGGGTGGCAGTGGAGGGCTGAGCATCCTGCTTGGCCCCCTCCCTCCACACCTCTAGTTTCCCTTCTTCCTAGTCAAGCTACGATCCTACCAGCCGTTACTGCCCTTCCTCCCACCCCAGAGGCAGCAAACAAACTCTAGTCCCAGACCTGCCCCTCTTCATACTGTGCAGGCAGCTGACCGAGGGCAGGGCCCTCTCCCTCTCTAAGCTTCAGGTTCGGGGCCCTGAGGCCCTTGATTCTGCCTCCCAGTCTCCTCCATCCCCACGCCTGTGCCCCAGCCCTCCTCACCCACACCGATGCTGCCATAGCCCAGGTGGGGGGGCACGATGAGGCGTCGCCGCTCGTTGACACACATGCCCATGAGGCCTCGGTCCATGCCGGTGATGAGACGTCCCCACACCCACCACGATGGCCACCAAAGTGCTGCGGTCATAGCTGGGGGACAGAGGGGATACCGTGGATTCGGGTGTGCACAGGTGAGGGTGCACGCAGCCAGACGCTTCCCTCTGCCCACGGTCACATACATGCCTGGGTGCATACACACACGCACACGCATGCACAATCCCCCTCTACACACGGGTGTAGATCAACATGCTCCTCACCTCCCTCCGGGGTCAGCCATGACCCCCAGTGTAAGAGGCTGGGCAGTTACAAAAAGGAAGTCCCCACGGAGCCTAGCGGCTCTTATACCCCTGGGAGAGGGTTGGGTGCAAGCCGTCTGCTGCTCTCTGCTGGCAGCAAAGGCGTGCTCAGCACTTCATGGGAGTGAAGAGGAACATTTATGGAGCAGTTAGGATGTGCTGGTGACATGCTTGGCCGCGATCTTATTTAATTCTTTCCCCGTGAGGAAGGCGTTATTGTTTTCATTTTTCTTCTGAGACGAAGTCACTCACTCAAGGTCACGGCTAATATGTGGTATGTGCGACGCCACCCCCCACCCCCACCCCAGTTTGTGCCTCTGCATCAGGGACTCGCCAAGGAGGAAAGGAAGGGGAAGCAGAGCTGGTGGGGGGTAGGGGTTGGTTTTCAGTTGTGAAAGAGCCTACTCTCAAACTGCCCTGGCTTTTATTTATTTTAGTTACTGTTTTTTCATTTTATGTTTTCAGAAGTTAAGGGCGGCTGGGAGATCGACGGAAGGGGGCCACGGGTTGTGAAAGTTTTCCAGGCTCAGCCTGGTTCCCAGAGTCCCCACCGGGGAAGTCGTCCCCCAAAGCCCCCCCACACCCCTCCACTCCGCCCCTGGCGGTCAGGGGCTGTACTCCCGGCTACTGCCTACCCCTCACTTAGCCTACTGAGCTGGTTCTGTGACTGGCCTGCTTCCCACACAGGCTGTTGTGAGGGCCCAAGCACCAGTTCAGCACTGTCAGGGCATCTGGTCCCCCAGAGTCGAGGCTAATGAGTACTGGACCCTCTGAGACTCCCAGGCACTGTGTCAAGTCCACTTTCATTCATCGTCTTGTTTGAGTCCTATCATCAGTCTCAGTACGCAGGGACTCGGTTTTTTCAGATCGTTTGTGGTCTCTATTTTTCAGATAAAGAAGGTAAAGCTTTAAGAGGCACCATTTCTTGTCCATGGTCACAGCCTGGCTTTGAAACCAGGGTCTTGGACTCTGGAGTTTTTTTCTTACCCAATATACTGCCTGCCCCCAAAGCCATGGCCACCGGTTTCCCGTGGGATGAGTTGTGTGTTTGGGGGAAGGGTCGAAGAAGAACTGACTTCATGGGGTGTGGTGGGCGGGGGGGGGTGTGTCACTGAGACCTGTGGTTTAACCAAGGCTGACATGTAGCCCTGCTTTGCCCCCACCAACAGAAGTGGGTTAGCGCCCTAGCCGTTTGGCTCAGTGGATAGAGCATCGGCAGGGGCTGAGCGTTCAATTCCGGTCAAGAGCATGCACCTCGGTTGCAGGCTGTTGGGGCCCCACCCTGGTTGGGAGGCAACCAATTGGTGTGTCTCTCTCATGTCATGTTTCTCTCTCTCTGTCTCTCCGCCTCCCTTCCATTCTCTCTAGAAATCAATGGAAAAAATATTCTTGGGTGAGAGGGGAAACAGAGCAGACCAAAGGCCTGCCTCTCTCCTCGCCAGAGCAGAAGCCGGCCTCTCAAACTCCAAGGCTGGCAAGATGGGCGGCAGCCCTGGCCTGGTGGCACTAAGATGGAGGAGGTGGGGGTGCAGGTAGACCTGGAGAGGGAGGTGTAACAATCCTCCAGGAGCCAGGACAGCAGGTCTGACACGTGGACAGACGTGGTCCCTACACGCCCAGATTCATCCAATCTTATTATAATGCAGGCTGCTAACAGCCACCCCCTCCTAAAGAAAGTTCTACTCCCTCTTCTCTAACCACAAAGGCACTGAAACCGGAGATGGAAGCGCTGAAGGGAGTCAGGGTGGGTGGGAATGTAGGGGTCCCAGGCTGCTCACATGCATCAGGGACCATGCTCTTCCCCCCAGCACTGTAGACTAGAACAGCCCCCTCCTCGTGGCTGGTGAATAGAGCAGTTCACCTTGATTATCAAGCACTTAGGGGGAGTTTGGGGAGCTTGTGTGAATGCAATCGGGGTCCTTGGAGAGGTAAAGGTTTGAAATTGAGAGCAGAAGATACATCCCTGGGGAGATGGATGTCTGGGAGACCACCCCCATCCCCACCCCCACCCAAGGCGCTGTGTTTGGGGTTAGGGGATCAGGGAATGAGTACCAGAAGGCAGACACAGCTTACAAGGGCACCGAGGAAAGGAACCCAGGAGCTCAGGGCGCCCGGCCCCGCTGGGGGAGAGGAGTGGTGAGTCTGGGGCCACCCAGCCCGTTACCTGGAGTCAAACTTCTTGCCATCCTCAAAAGTGCCGTTGTAGTGGTAGCGCACGAAATCCCCCCTCTGCACTTCGCGGGGACAGGCCCTGGGGATGTGGTACCTCTCGATGACCACGTCTTCCAGGGGCCCCCCGGCCGGGCTGGCGCGGCCCAGCCCCCTCCCCACGGCCTGCACCAGCAGCAGCAACATCTGCAGCAGCGGGGGTCGCAGGAGGGCGGGGCTGCGGGGCCCCGCGCCACGGAACATGGTGCCTGGAGCTGGCATGGCCGGCAGTGAGTGCGAACAAGAGAGGAGCCGCCACCGACCTCCGCTCCCGAGTTGGCTCCCCCTCTTCCTGTCTTCACTCCCCACCCCCGCCCTGGCGGGTCCACGTGGAATGGGGGCTGGGGAGGCTGAGCTGGCGGGCGGGGTCGGGGTGGGAACGGAGGAGGGGGCCCGGCCGAGCGCGGGGGAGACCGGGCAGGCACCACAAAGAGCTCCAGGCGCCCCCCGCTCCCCCCGCCCGAGGCCGAGAGGCCCAGCCGGGAGGGAGGCTCCAGAAAGATGAGAAGTGGGAGCTGACTCCAAACCCAAAAAAAGAAAAGAAAAAGTTCACTGTCTTTCCCCCTGGAGGCCCCGGGGTCCTAAAGCCGGACCGAGTCATCCCTTGCTGCTTTCGCTGGCACCCCCAAATCAGAAGCCTCTTCGGGAGGCTGGGGAGGCTAAAGCATCTGAGGGTGTCTCTGCTCCCCCATCCCTGCTGTCCCAGGACGAGGAGCTACTTCGCTCTGCAAAACCCGGGCTGCCGGGCGTTCTGCGTGGACGGAGGTCCCCCGGCGGCGGCGGTGGAGTGGAGGGTGTGCAGGGCAAAGCCGGGTGTGGCCTGCCCGCCGCGGGCTGGGGGGACCCTGGGAGCGACCCCTTCAGGACTGGGGGTGCGGCGGGTGCCAAAGGGGCGCCGTGATGCACGGAAAACCAGGTCCTAGGCCTTGGGCAGCACAGAGGGAGGGGGCACGTCCCTCCATTTCACGACCTTAAGGTGGGGGGACAGCGTGGAGGGAGCTTTCTGGGCTCCCCATCCTTAAGGGAAGCGTCCCCCCATCTGTCGAGGGAAAGCTACTAAGGACAGGGGACCGGGCTACGTAGGGGACTCGGGACACCCTTGCGCCCACCGAACAGAGGGGAGACGCAGCCCTCGCCCCTCCGGGGACCTGACCGAGACCATTACCCTCCTGACAGCCACGGGGCTCGGCGCTAAGACCCAGCGGGCGCGCCGGCCCGGCCCCCGCTTTATTCCTGATCACGGGGCCTGCCTGGATGTGGGCTTAGTCCCTAGTGGGCGCATGGAAGAAGCAGCGATGGAGTGTCTCTCTCATTGGTGTTTCTATCTCTCATCGCTCTCCCTGCTCTCTCTAAAAAATT